TTTTTTTTTTTTTTTGTCCTGTATTGTTATTATTTACAAGAAAGATTTTATTTTGGAGATGTTCTTTTTCAGAGAATGAACCACTTGGAAGCAAGTATACTAAAAGTTTGAGGAAAAAAATGCATACTGGTTTGCCTGAGCATATAGAACTCAGTATTACTATTTAAACAAACATAAGTAAAAGGGGTAAAGCAACAATTATGAAAGGCTGAGGTTTGTTATCCAAAGGAGCAACACAATTATAAGCTTTAGTGAGATCCTAGACTTAAAAACCAATTCATTAAAACATAACAACCATTAAAATGCATGGAGAAGAACATTTCCCCGGCTTTTTCTGTCTTTTGTCCCAACTAAGGGGATGTGAGGAAACTGCAGGAAATTAAGACTGAGCTAAATCACAGATTTATACTAAATTCTTAAAAGATGGAAAGTGCATAGATATATAACATTAAATTTTAGTTTAAAATACAAGGCAAAAGATTAATTGGGGTTTTTAGAGAAAAGCGCTCCCTCAATCTGTAAGTTACAGTTACCAATATATTAAAAATAGCTAATCTAGAATATCTTATAAACCATAAAACCTGTATAGAAATATATCAAAAGAGACGGTACTGTTTGAGAAATCTGCAACTTGATTTGTAAATTCTAAAATGAAATTACTAAGTTTTTCTGTTAGAAATAAAACTGATAAATTTTTTTATTTCCCTCCCAGTACTAGGACATTGGAGAAAAAGTGTTATAGCTTCATACTTTTATCTCCTGTGATCACATATAGGTAAAAAACTGTTATAGCTTCATACTTTTTATCTCCTGTGATCACATATAGGTAGTGTTCCCTTACTACCCGACAGCACCAGAGGATCTTGGCCTTTTCAGTGCTTTACATGTCATAAATACACACGTTTGTTCCCTCAGGGAAATGAAAGACATGTACTTAAATCTGCACAGATGACTGGGGGAAATAAAAGAAAAAATATCAGTACTTTCTACATATGTGGATATTTATACAATATTTCATAATACAATCTGATGAAACATTTAATACTAAAAACTTTTTAGTTAAGTTTAAATATTCCTAAAATTTGATGTTACATAAATAAAATGATACTATAAACTTCAAAACAGTGAAATTCAGCAGTGCTCCAGTCTGCGTAGGGAGAAATGACCTGTACAGAACCGAAGTTAACAGAGCTCAAATTGCAGCAGTTGTTTTAGAGAGTTATTTCCAAAAGGACAACCTAGAATCAGTATAAAGAATGCATTGTTAGCATCTTTGCAATAGAACTCATACAACTACTGGTTACAAATGTAAAAGTCTAGGTGATTTCACTGAGTCTACACAATATTATTAGGAAGTATGACTTGTTACAAAAAAACAAGCAACTAAGTTTATATCTATTTTGCAACTAAAGCTACAAATGAAAAATACATTATTGGCGGACAGAGTAAGACCCATTATAATTCTGTGTCTGAAACTCGTAGCATTCAGGACTTCAGTTCTAAAGCCTGTCACCTTGGATCCTGTTTGCAAGGAATTCAGTCTGATGTTAAAAGACATGTCATAACTTGGATTTCAGACTTTAGTGCTTCAGAAATATGTTTATATACCTCATAATGTAACTACAGCTATCTTAAGACAGATAAGGCAAATGGTAGCAATATATTGGAAATATAATTGAAAAATGCAGTTGTCCAGAGCACTTGTGGGGATGATGTCTCTGCAAAGCTACTCAATGCCTCCGAGTTTGAAGTTACATTTTTGATGTTGTCACTCTCAATCTATTGAATGGCTGACAGACAACCCAACCCGTCTGGCCGGCTGGCAGCTCATTTTGCTGGCAGGTGGCAAACAATTAGACACACCAATTTGTGCCTCCTGATGACATTAAAGCATGGAACTAAGTTGTATGCAGGGCCTAGTGATTTGTGTGAAAGCATTTCAAAAATAATACTCTCTGCCGTGGCAACTCATTTCAGACTGCCACCTCCCATTATGGCTTTGAGCAGTGAAGACGACAGACTTGAGTTACGGGCAGCGCAAGGCCGCTTCTGTTCAATCCGTCATCAGCGCCCCTGAGACCTCAATCCCCTCCTTTCATCAATATCACCTCATCATTTACATCTGATAGTACTGGCGCGACTGCATACATTAACTACACTGGAGACCCTCTTCCTAAGAACTGAAATATGCTTTGTGCTCTTCCATTTCATTTCTACTTAGGCAATTCAGAATAATGATTCCACCCCCATTGCATTTTGCACAAATGCTACCAGGAGCAATGGAAAGTTCCATTTTTTTAAAGCAATATTCTCAAAAGCATAATAAATTTTGAGTAGCTAGGAATAGTGGCACTCAGGTGACTGCTTTCTTAAGTTTTAATGGAAAAAAAAGCATTCTAAAGATAATCTGTATTCAAACAAAGATATTTTCCTTAATCTTTATTTCATGTGATTCTTTTACACAAATCACAATAATTCTCTGTGTTTATTATTTTGTATTTTAACAAAATGTAAACATATAATTGAAAATTAAATTGGAAATGGTCCTGGGTTAAATCACTGTAACATTTACTTAGACACCGATGTACAGATACATAAAAATGCACACACTTACATGTGTATGCACACTCATAAGCACACATACACGTACATCCTGGGAGCATAAGCCAAATATGTGAAATAGAAGACATCCACCGGAAATTGCAGGAGCATCCACAGAACTATATGAACGAACACCCGAATATAACATTCACACAAAGTATAAAGAGAAATAAACAAAAAATTCTACATTTTTAAAGTGTCATTTCTTTGCCTTTACTTTTTTTAAAACTTTCAACATAACATAAGTTATCTTATATGACAATTATTTGTAAACATCTCAACTCTTTCTACTACTCTGTAAGCTCATGGAAGACAAAGTGATTTCATTTATCTTTGTTTCCCACATACTAACTTACACCAAGTGCTTTTATAACAGATTTTCAAGAAATAGCTGTTGGACACTGGCTACGTGTTTATAGGAAAAGTAGTAATTATATTTGCTTATGAAAAAGATCATTCCACCTAAGTGAAAATGCTTTACTGTCACACAGCTACCCCGGAACATTAAAACATTACTGTCTCTGCTTTGGACAAAGTAGTTTGGCTAATTCAGAGAAAGCAATATGAAATATATATTGCATTTTGACTATATATTTATTTTGATAATCCAGTTTAAGAATCATTTGATTTCCCAACTTGATCTTATCTCTCTAAAACAGTTCTAAAAACAAAAAGCACCTACTTGTCAACCACCTCAAACATATATACATATTTGTATGAGAAAGCTATGGCGGGCGGTCTGCTTCTGTAAAGATTACAGTCTTGGAAACCCTAAGGGGCAGTTCTGCTCTGTCCTATGGGGTCGCTATGAGTCGGAATTGACTCTACAGCAGTGGAATGTATATACATGTATAAAACACATTTTCATATGTATATCAATGTGTTCTTAAACATCAGTAACAATGATTTGATTCAGATGTTAAACCAATAAATCTTTAGTTTATACATTAACATGCAAACATAGTCTGGAATATGCACCAATCCTAGTGTTCAAAGTTAAGTAATATTGTTAGTAATTAGTGACTGTCTAAAATATTTTTCTAAGCTGCACATGTTTTTAAATAGTAGGATGTATTACATGCACAAACTCTTTGGTTCTAAAATACCTTGTTTTATTCTGCTTTTGTGAACTATCATTTTATTGACTGTATTCTGGAACAGAAAAAGAATTAGCTGTTCTTCAGCTAAAACTTCTTGTATGATTTAACATTGTAATGTAGATAAATAAACCGTGTTCTAAGTATTTAGAAACCTAAAATGCCTTTTGTCAATCTTACTTCCAAACACACGCCTCCAAACATAGCTGCTGCACTGGCACTGGATGGCCCAGAGCAAGGTGACCACAATTTCTTCTCCTTTCCATATACTTGCATTTAAATGTTCAACTTGAATTCTATTACTTAAAGTAGGCTATTTAAGCTCCAATAATTATTACAGATTTCTATAACACTGTAATAGAATTTCAGAGCCAGAACCGCCTTGGAGAGCTCTGGCCTATCTTCTCCTCCTCTTTTACACAAACAGTTCCAGTCTGAAGAGAGAAGACGCCGTCTGCAACGCACTGCGGTCACTTGATGGTGCGTCAGAGCCGGAATCCAGGGTTCCGTTTCCAGGTCAGTGTGCTGTCTACCAGACCAGACCGAAACCCTTCTCTGGGATGTATTACGGATACGCCTCACAGGGGCACTCTCTAGGTTTGCCCCCACGCCCCTTGACTGTGGTGGAGGGTGGAGGGTTCGGCGGGCGGTGGTGATTCCCTGGCTGGCCTAGTCTGGTGCCCCCTTGGACTTGCGCCTTGGGGCAAATGCCCCCTCTAAGCCCTGGTGGCACAGTGGTTAAGAGCTCAGGCTGTTTACCAAAAAGTAGACAGTTCGAATCCACCAGCCACTCCTTGGAAACCGTATGGGGTAGTTCTACTCTGCCCTATAGGATCGTTATGAGTTGGAACTGACTTGAAGGCAATGGGTTTGGTTTTTTGGTTTTTAACCCCCTCGCTACACCTCTGATGCCTTACTATGAGAACAATCCAGTTGGCTGTCACTTCGATAAAACCAAAATCCAAACCCGTTGCTGTCAAGTGGATTCTGACTCACAGCGACCCTATAGGACAGAGTGGAAATGCCCCATAGGGTTTCCAAGGAGCAGCTGGTGGATTCAAACTGCCAACCTGTGGGTAAGCAGCTGTAGCTCTTAACCACTGCGCCACCAGGGCTCCATCACTTTGCTGGTCATTGTAAAGTCAGAATCGCCTAGACAGCAGCTAACAACAACAGCATGATGAGGATCTGTCTTCACAAGTACACAGTCTCAGGACCTCTCTTGACCTGTCCGTCTGTTCAGACTCCAATTTTCCTGCCATGTCTAGAGCACTGGGAGTGGAGAGTTCATTCAGTACCTACCTGTCAAAGGAGTGGAACTGCATAGGGAGAATGGCCTGCGCTTCTCTCTTCAGTGATGGATCTGGGTACGGGATGGGCTCAGGGCCACATTCGGCAATTTCAACGGGGGCAGCCACAAGGCTTTTCAGTATCTCCTTGACATTGATGCCTTTGCTTTGACTGATGCTAGAGATGGATGGTGCCGGCTTCATCATCTCACTGGGGTTCTCAGTTAAGCTCTCCTGTGATTTTTTCACTTCAGAGGACAAAGTGGACAGCAGTTCACTCATGGCATCAGGGCCTGCGCTGGTCTCTATTTCTGCCCCATTCAGAAGGCTGGCTACTTGCTCCTCTCCAATTCCTGAATCTGTATGAGGAATGGAACTTTCTATCTGAACGTCCTCGCCAGGAGTGGGTGTGTCTTTTTCCTTTACCGTGTCTGGAAATGCAGCAGGTGTTTCTGTAATGGAAAAAAAAAAGTTGTTTTTTTTTAAAAAAAAAAGCTTTACAAGCGAAACCCCTGCATTACTAATAGAATATTCTCATATGATAAAGAATATAAAACCTGCAAGAAACAAAAACTGTATGTGCATAATACAACTTGATTAGAACATATCATCCATTTATACCTGTTAACATTTTATACTGTAAGCTTCAACATAAAGTTGTTGCTTTTATAAATCATCTGTCATATCAAACCGATGCCTTCGAAAGCATCAGAAACTCGTTTCCGTAACAATTTCTGATGGCAGCTTATAAATAATTACTGTTTGAAGTTCTCCTTTTCTCCTTTCAGTGTTAGCTACTAAACAAACATGCAGGGGACATTCTTATACTTCTCCAGTGCTGTTCTTAAAAATGTAAAGTCATTTTTACACTTTCTTTGGTACTTCAATAACCAATAATAAAAATAAAGTAGGTATGTTTAATAGAAATATTTAAAGTATTTGAATGTATCATTTAAAATCACATACACATAATACATATAATTCTGAAGGTAACAGCAAAATGTAGACCATGTCAGACAATCAGGATAGATCAAAAGAATCAAGACTTTAATAACAGAAAAACGCTTCTCACAAATTTAAACGGTCTATATGTGGCATTTAAGGACAACTACTTTGGAGCACTAATGCTCATTGTGAATAAATATCAATTTTAATGTGTGGAAACTTGAATCAGGAAAAAAATATATATATATACTTACACACATATATACACATATCTGACACACTATAATATTACCAATTAAAACAGCTAAAATGAAAAAAATCTTAAATTCATATCAAATCTCATTATACAAAGGTCAAGATAATGAAATTTGCCATATAATGAAAAGTTATCTAATTCTAAATGATGACTTTGAAAACTTGATCTAATTGAGGATGCAATCTCCTCAGCAGTATGACGGGATGATAAGAGTTCTTAACTTTTAATAGAGTCATGTCGGAAAGGAAAATAAGGCTGTATTAAAATACTAAACACAAATTTTCAGCAGAACCAGCCCAAAGTAGATAATAAATGTTAGTTTCTTGTGTTATTTTAGCTTATAGTTAAGTATTCTCCTTTGTAAAATAAGAAGGGTAGACTAAATTACTTGTAAGATATCTTCCAAACTTTAAGATCTGTAAGTTTTACAAAACAGCTCCTATGTATTTTGCTTGTTTCGAAAGGTTATTAGGATCAGAAATGGAGAGGCGCAGGGGGAACAGGCTACCCCAATGTCAGCGGAGCAGTTCTCACACCTCTTACGAAACCTCTAGGGAAACACAGAGAAATGCTGTTTGGATGATACTGCTGTTGGTGGGATGAAAATGGCTTAAAACCTATACACTCAAACTAAAAAATTAAACATAATGTGAAGGGAGTTCTTCAATAACAGGACCCAGCTCTTTGACCCTATTGGAAAGTGTTGTTAATTTCCTGAAGAGATTAACGTCATGGCTTTCAAAACTGATGAGGATGTAAATTTATTAATTTTTCCAGATTAATTTCAGAAAAATTTTGTCAAGTTTTCAAAAGAAAGAAAATCTTTTCTTTATTTTGATGACTCTTTTCTTTTGCTGCAAATTGTATTAAACTCATATGTTAATTTAGGAATAAATAACTTCTTCATATTATTCCATCTTCCCAGTATACCATATTCATCTGAATTCATTAAGAAATATAAATTTCTCACAATTCAGTGTTATATTGTAGTTTTCCTCATATTTATCAGACAGTTTTTAGTTCTGTTTGTTTGTTTGGTCTAGGATGTTAGAATTAAAAGATTAATATGTGAAACATGATAATAATATTCAAACACTGTCTGAGCAAATAAAAAACAGAGTAGACTTATTCTGTATTGGTCCCCAGATTCAAAATTATAATAAAAGTATAAATCTTTTCAGAAGAGAGAGAATCTTAACACTGCTAGTGGCAAAGCATTAGAGAAGGAAAAATGAGAGGTAAAGACACCACTTTGGAATTTTTCATAAAACCATATGGCACAGAATATTAAGACAAATTAGAATAATAGCAGTGAGAATGAAAAGGAGGGGAAAGTATTAACACGCCTCCGAAATATCCATCTTAAGGGAAAAAACCAAGAGAGGGAGAGACGGGTGATACGCTACTGACTGGGAAAGAGAGCACGAGAGGAGCAGGGTGCTTCAGTAGAACAATGAATCAAACTTTGAATTAATTAAGTCTGCAGTATCCCTGGGATATTCGTATGTGTCGGTCAAGAGAAGTACAGCCAGACATTTGGGGACAATTCAGACTGAGGTGAGAGTTGAAACTTTGGAAGTTAATGAAATAGCTTAGGTTTAAGAATGAGAAGATAAGACAGCTGAGGCTGTTATTTCCACTGTTAAGAGACCAATTAACTTATTTTAACTCTTTGCATGTGTAGATTATATATTTTTGAAGAGAAAAAAACTGTGGCAGAAAAGTCAGGAGGGAATGAAGTAGCAGTAATGACAATTCTATGGCAGTAGGACAGGGACTACAAAACAGGAACAAAACACAAACTGTAACAACAAAAAAAATCACATTGTCGTCATGACTACCACGGGCTAGCTTCTCTGTTGTCGCTGTTGTTCAGTGCCATCGAGTCGGTTCTGGCTCATGGTGACCGATGTACAACAAATCGAAACACTGCCTGGTCCTGCCCATCCTCACCATCACTGTTATGCTTGAGCCCACTGGTGCAGCCACTGTGTAAATCCATCTTGTTGAGGGTCTTCCTCTCTTTTGCTGACCCTCTACCAAGCATGATGTCCTTTTCCAGGGATTGGTCCCTCCTAATAACATGTCCAAAGTATGTGAGACAAAGTCTCACCATCCTCGCTTCTAAAGATCATTCTGGCTGTACATCTTCTAAGACAGATTTGTTCATTCTTCTGGCAGCCCATGGTATCTTCAATATTCTTTGTCACACTATAATTCAAAGGCATCAATTCTTCTTTGGTCTTCCTTATTTATTGTCAAGCCTTTGCATGCGAGGCGACTGAAAATACTATGGCTTGGGTCAGGCGCACCTTAGTCCTCAAAGTGACTTCTTTACTGTTAGAAACACTTTAAAGAGGTCTTTTGCAGCAGATTTACCCAGTGCAATAAATAGTTTCATTTCCAGACTGCTGCTTCCCTGGGCGTTCATAGCAGATCCAGGTAAAATGAAATCCTAGACAACTTCAATCTTTTCTTCATTTATCATGATGTTGCTTATTGGTTCAGTTGTGAGGACTTTCGTTTTCTTTATGTTGAGGTGTAATCCATACTGTAGTCTTTGATCTTCATCAGGAAGTGCTTCAGGTCCTCTTTACTTTTAGTAAAACTGTGTCATTTGCATATCGCAGGTCATTAATGAATCTTCCTCCAATCCTGAAGCTGCTTTCTTCTTCATATAGCCCACCTTCTCAGATTATTTGCTCAGCATAAAGACTGAATAAGTATGGTGAAAGGATACAACCCTGACGCACACCTTTCCTGATTTTAAACCAGGAAGCATCCCCTTATTCTCTTCAAATGATTGTCTCTTGGCCTATGTACAGGTTCCGCATGAGCACAATTAATTGTTCTGGAATTTCCATTCTTTGTAATGTTATCCATAATTTGTTATAATCCACACAGTTGAATGTCTTTGCACAGTCAATAACACACAAGTAAACATCTCTCTGGTATTCTCTGCTTTCAGCCAAGATCCATCCGACATTAGCAATGATATCCCTGGTTCCACGTCCTCTTCTGAATTTGGCTTGAATTTCTGGCAGTTCCCTGTCGATGTACTGCTGCAACCCTTTTTGAATGATCTTCAGCAAAATTTTACCTCTGTGATTTTGATGAAATTGTTTGATAATTTCCACATTCTGTTGGATCACCTTTCTTTGGAATGGGCACAAATATGGATCTCTTCCAGTCGGTTGGCCAGGTAGTTTTCTCCCAAGTTTCTTGGCGTAGACGAGTGGGTGCTTCCAGTGCGACATCCGTCTGTTGAAACATCTCTGTTGGTATCTGTCAGTTCCTGAAGCCTTGTTGCCAATGTCTTTAGTGAAGCCTAGACTCTTTCTTCAGTACCATCAGTTCTTGATCATATGCCACCTGCTGAAATGGCTGAACGTCGACCAATCCTTTTCAGTATAGTGACTCTGTATTCCTTCCATCTTTTGATGTTTCCTCCATCATTCAATATTTTGCCCATAGAGCCCTTCAACATTGCAACTCGAGGCTTCAATTTTTTCTCCAGTTCTTTCAGCTTGAGAAATGCCGAGCGTGTTCTTCCCTCCTGATTTTCTAACTCCAGGTCCTTGCACATTTCATTATAATACTTTACTTTGTCTTCTCAAGCTGCCCTTTGAAATCTTCTGTTCAGCTCTTTTAAGTGATCATTTCTTCCATTCACTTAAGCTACTCTACATCCAAGAGCAAGTTTCAGAGTCGCTTCTGACATCTATTTTGGTCTCTTCTTTCTTTCCTGTCTTTTTAATGACCTCTTGGTTTCTTCATGTATGATGTCCTTGGTGTCATCCCATAACTCTTCTGGTCTTTGGTCATTAGTGTTCAATGAGTCAAGTCTATTCTTGAGATGGTCTCTAAATTCAGGTGGGATATATTCAAAGTCATACTTTGGTTCTCCTGGACTTTTAATTTTCTACAGCTTCAGCTTGAACTTGCATATGAGCAGTTGATGGTCTGTTCCACAGTCGGCCTCTGGACTTGTTCTGACTGATGATATTGAGCTTTGCCATTGTCTCTTTCCACAGATGTAGACAATTTGATTCCCGTGTATTCCATCTGGCAAGGTCCACATGTATAGTCACTGTCTATGTTGTTGAAAAACAGGTATTTCCAATGAATATGTCTTTAGTCTTGCAAAATTCTAGCATGAGATCTCCTGCGTTGTTTCTATCATCAAGGATATATTTTCCAACTACTGACCCTTCGTTTCCAACTTTTGCATTCCAATCATCAGTAATTGTC